GAAATAGAAAGGCTTGGCAAAAGTTTGCATGTTCTCCCCGTGCCTGCGTGGGTTTTCTCCGGGTACTCTTGTTTCCTCCCACATTCCAAAAACACGTGGTGGAGGTGCAGGTGTATGGAACACTCCAGAAATGTTTCCCCGGGTGTTAATGTGAGGAATTGGCTGGCAACTGGTTGAAAGTGGCCCCTGCCTACTGCCCGAAGACGGCTGGGATGGGCTCTGGCACACCCACGACCTTCGTGAGGAGAAGCGTTTCAGATAATGGATGAATGGTTTACTTGTATCTTAAAATACAAAGAAAAGTTCTGCAGTATATAAGTAAATTGATTAGTTGTAATGGGACCTATTTTTCTGACACCCTCCCTTCCCATTCTGCCCACCTTCACCTTGCGGCCCATGTCAAAGGTCATTCTTATTCAATTTGATTTGATTTTTGTTACGTTGCGGGCTACTGAAAGTTGATGTCGGACCGCATTTGGCCCCTGGGCCATAGGCTGGACACCCCAAGGTAAGCGGTTAAGCAGATAAGTTTGACAGTGTTTTTGATTCTCATATGTGTTCGTCATGTTTGACTGTTTGAACTAACCTTGCGGCCCATGTCAAAGGTCATTCTTATTCAATTTGATTTTATTTTTGTTCTGTTGCGGGCTGCTGAAAGTTGATGTCGGACCGCATTTAGCCCCTGGGCCGTAGGCTGGACACCACAGGGTAAGCGGTTAAGCAGATAAGTTTGACAGTGTTTTTGATTCTCATATGTGCTCGTCATGTTTGACTTGTGAACCACCTGCGTACGCAGCGAGCCGATTCTCACGTTTGACTGATTGGAGTGTACAAAGAAAAAAAAGAAAAAAAAAGAAAAAAATGTGGTTTCCAATCAAATACTGTGCGCACCGTGCGTTGACCTCAGTCGCCATTCCCGCTCTCAAACTTATTCCGCTTGTTATATAAGGTTAGAGGTCACATTCATTATGTAAAAAAAAAAAAAAATGCTTATTGTGTATTGTGGCATTTGAACCGCCGTGTGTAGACTTTTGGTATCAACTGCACTGTATTGTGTGTGCAACCCTCCAGCACTAACAAGCAAAAAAATAAAAAGCAAACAAAGAAGGAAGAGCGGCAGTAATTAAGGCCCTCATTAGTCCTCATTATGTAAGAGAATGCAGTAAAGCAGCAGAGGGCATTGTCAATTTTTTTTGTTTTTTTTGAGCACACCGGTGGCGGTTTCCACATACACTGGGGCCCTCAGTGTTTCCACTTCAGCGGCCGCGTACAGGCTGACGAGTGTTCTGGATCCATTTTGCAGAGCGGCAGAGGGAGGCCCCCCCCCCTCGGGCATCAATGCGGCAAGGGGAGTCCATCCTTTGGCGTTTTCAACGCGCCGCTAGCGTGTCGCTTCAGGGCAAGTGAACAAACGATTCTGTCCGGAACTTGACAGAAATATGATTTAGACCTCCCCCCCCCCACCCCTGTCGGGCCAGGTTTTGGGCCGCGGGCCGCATATTTGATACCCCTTTTCTGAGCGAACGGGCGTTATCAAAATCAGGTGTGCCTTCAGGGCATGTGACTCGACAAACAGACCTGGGGGGGAAAAAATGCCAACTAAAACCATCGGTAATAAAAGCTGGGCAGCAGACGGGAGGGGCAAAAAAATGGGGAAGAACAAATGAGACCAACCCCCCCCCCACCCCTTCCAACCTAACCCCGCCCCCTGTTCACTTAAATTTTCACCCTGAGGCTTGCCAAGTCTCATTTACAGCTCTCTGTAACTGCATAAGCCTGACCCAAAGCATCATGATAATAGCGATTGGGTAACCTGCATGACTGCATGCTCACACATGCCACCAACACACACACACACACACACACACACACACACACACACACCCTTTTAATAAGCGTACTGTCAACCCATAAGTGTCTATTAGCAGCATGGCGCTAATTGGCAAGACAAAGTGGAGGTTTCCGAAGCATCGATTAAGTCTTTTTGCAAGGCGATGCTACGCAGCGGGGGCTGTCGGAAATTAGCCCACCGACTTCCCCACTGAATATTTATATTGTCAAAAAGCTGTTGCAAAAATGTAGCCATTTATTTTTGTTTGTGGTGGTATATTTGTGTGCATTTTGTGTGGGTGTTTGTTCATCCCGTTTGATAATTGGTTCATTGTTGAGTAATGACCGAAAAAAATCATGACCGTTTCATTCATTTCAATGAGCAATTTGTTTATTATCGTTTATGTAACGAGATGACAAAGATAAGCAAAAGGGATCGTTGAAGTGGGAAAATAATTCACAAGTAACGTATTTTTCTCTTTATATTTTTACTAATTTATGTCATAAAATTCGTGATCACTTGATTTGATGAACCGATTGATTTATTCATGTTGGAAAAAAAACATGAATAAAATACCTTACATGCACATTTAAGTATTTTAGTAAATAACCATGACGGAATGAAAAGAACATTTATATGACTCAAAACTGAAAGATGGAGGATTTTACTTCTTTTTTTGTTTTCATGGTTTGATGTGACCTCTGCAACACGACGCACGCCTACTGCGTCCGTGCCCGTTTTCAAAGTCAAATGAGACCTTGAGTTTGTCCCGGCCGGCCCAGCTATCCCGTGGAATTCAGTCAAAAATTAAAAGTCGACAAACATGAGTCACTCAAAAGCAAGAGTCGCTCCCTTCCGAATTCAATAAAATGGATCCTTGGCCGCCGGCGAACAAAACACAGTGGAGTTGTCGCGCTCTTGGCACCTGCTGCACCTGAACAACAGAGCCTCGGTACCTGGGAAACCAGATAACCAAGATGGTTAAGAGCACTCGGTGGCTGCGGCTGTGTCAACAATATCTCCCGCTTCCCTTCTTGGCCGCACGCTTGTATGCACTTGCATTTCTTCATAGGAACTCATTCGGGTATTTCTAAATGCGCACGATGTTTTTGGGTGAGTCGCAAGTTCATCCGCCAGAAGGAAGGCACCGTTTTTAATTTCGCAAAGTTCCCGGGGGTATTCGTAAAAAAAGGTTCCCCGGCACGATTGCAATCAGTACAGCGATGACAAACACAACGCGTGCATTTCATATCCCCTTGTCACGCTCTGCTTGAAATCGGTCAGTTTCATTGAAATGCCGGGTATGTTACCATGACAACCGAGGGTACAACCACTGCGTCTTCCGTCTCCTCATTTCCCAATTAAAAAAATAATAATTCAAACCAAAAGCGACGGGCAACAAAATCGACTTTTTTTAATGTCGTTATTGGAGACTTCTCGAGAGCAGGAGATGCTCACCACTCGACTTCCAGACTGGCTCCAAGTTGACCCATAACCCCCATTTACACTTGATCTATTCGTGGATCCACGTATGTGGCGCATGCAGCAGTCACATGGACAAACGCAAATACCGCCCTGGCCTTCACATTGACGACTTGGGAGATCATTCAAGTAGATGCTAAAAGTCACGAGCTGGGAACGCCGTCATGACAACTGTTTTTGCGCGGCGGCCTAGCGACCGAGTCGTGGGGGTTGAATTTTGGTTTGGGGGCCGGTATGATATCAAGTCCGGGAATTTTAGTACACAGCATTCGGGTTATTTTCACACCTGACGGGTGGGCAAGCACACGGGATCCGCCTATTCGTATAGAGTTCAAATTTGCTAGAATTGAGGAGCTCCTCCCCCTTTTTAAAACACTTGATCGAAAATCTTGGCTTGGCGAAGTGCAGCGCGTTCCGCAACGGATGTTTCTTTCTTTTTGTCCTTCCCCGTTGCTCAGTTTTAGGGACGGTAAAAGGTGGAGAGCGTATGTCACGTTCAGCAGAGGTCTCGAGTTACCCCCGACGGCAGAGCCGTCTGTCTGTCTGTCCGTCCGAATAGCTGCGGGGGTGAAAGCAGATCCCGTCGGAGCCCGAGAGCCCTCTTCTATTATCCCGCGATGCTCCATTCCCAGACACACCCGTTTTCTTTTTTTCTTTCTTTTTTTTTTCTACCTTCCGTTGAGACCTGAGTACCTTTTTCAGAGAGCTTCTATTCATGCTAATCCACCAGACAGTGGTTCTAAATTCAAAGTACATGTTGGGTTTTTTTTTTTGTTTGTTTTTGTTTTTTTTGTGCTGAACCACAAAATGGCGACAAAGCCCTGACAAATTGAAAAGTAGGATTTTGATCTCAAGGCAGGACGTTGAAGTGATACATGTTGACGAAGAGACGAACATCTTAGCATGTTGGGGAGGAGCTAAGTTTTGCCCGGGTGGTTCGTGGAAGTTACGGAGAGTCTCACACGAGTGATTTTTTGAGGGAATGTTTCAAGATGAGCTTGAAAGACAAAGAAACTGCTTGCGGCAGGGCCACCGAGTTGAAATGCCCCCCCCCCCCCCCTCAAAATAGCGAGGCCTTAGCCACTAAGGCATACAACAACCAAACGCTGCAAATGTTGTTTTAGTCATTGACGTGGTGTGGACGATTGTCACAGTCATTAGTCAGTTCGGTTCTGCAGGTTCCTGCTCGACAAGTTTTGAGCAGCTCTGAGGAACGTTAAATGGAACTCGCATGCAATTGGTTTGGCGCCAGCGCCAAGTGAGACTCTAAATATACAAATATACAAAAGCGTCTGCCGCCGCAGGCAAATTTCAATGCAAAGAGGCACAATCACGGGATAGGAAAGACGGCGTATGCCGGAGAAGCCCTTTCAGTCCGGTGATTGCCAACACCTGCGCCACAAATATCGAACCGCTCGCACTTGGCAACTTGAAGTTGCAGAACTTTAATATCAGGGAAGGCTTTGGCCTATCGAATAGAAGCTCCTCCCCTTCCTCCACCATAGTTCCTCAGCAACAAGATCGCTTCGAAGGTATGAGACGGAAAGAAGGAAAGACATCAGAAGTCACTCCGAAGATATGAAAGAGCGGAACAGGCCGGGAGAGGTTTCCAGCGAAGAAGGATTTGTGAATGGCAAATGCTCGGTGAAGGTCCGGAAAGTCCGTTTTCCAGTTTGCGGACGCTCACCTGGAAGATGAGGACTTTGAAGTGGTTCCTCTTGAGCAGGTGGCTGTGGTTGGCCTCCAGCTTCTTGACCTGCCCCGCCTGCTTGTCCAAGCGCTCGCGCACCTCCTTCAGGTGGCCGCTGACTTTGCGCGAGCGCTCCAGCAGCTTGCACACACTGTTGGAGGTGCCCACGTGCGTCTTGGACAGGCGGCTGACGTCGCCCTGCACCAGCCGCACGGCGCCCTCCAGGTCGGCCTGCTTCTGCTCCATGCGCCGCTGGTTGTCCTGCACCGCCTCCATCATGTTGACCAGCTTGTCCAGCAGGGCCACCACGGTGATGGCGCTCACCTGGCCGCGGTCCACCGGGCTGCCCGGGGCGGCGGCCGAGGAGGGGCTGGCGGGAACCTTCAAACCCAGCCGGGCCAGGGTGCCCGTCTGGGTGGGGGAGGACCGGGCGGACGACGCGCCGACGCTCGGGATGAGCAGCTCGGCATTCTCGGGGGGCCCGGGTTCGGGCTCCGGCACGGTGTGGGTGCTGCCCGTCACGCTGCTGGTCTCGGGGTGGGACGCCTCGGCGCGGGGGGGCTCTTCTTCCATGGTTGCGCAGGTGGTGTGGTCGGTGGAGCGACGCGACGAGCTCCTGTCGGGAGGGGAGTCAACTTTGCCAGTGACTTAGCTCAGCACCCACGCCCCACTCGGTCTCGGTCTCGGTCTCGGCCTCTCCCTCCCTCCCTCCCTCCCTCTCTCTCTCTCTCTCTCTCCGCAAACACAAGCACAAACATGCTGTGAACTTTCAAAACACCTCCCCCGCGAGCCAAAGGGAGGGGCTCGGTCCCCATGGTTACCCGCAGGCCTTGCCCTACTGACAGAGGAGCGTCGGCCTTGTGTGCTTGCTCGTCGTGTTGTTCGTGTTCAAGACCGACCGCTCCAGTTTAGCCCGCGCTCGTCGGAGGTTTGGAAGCTAATTGGGGCCCCCCGCTTCGAGCTGCCAAATTGCTTCGTTTCCTCCTCCTCCTGCTCGTCTTTACCGTAACCTCAACGATGTCTCCAAATCGTTCATTTTGGAGGCTTTCCCCAGAGGGGAAAACGTCCGAGTGGAAAGTGACGTCCGGTGGTGTTTGTAGGCCCTTTGCCACCGCGCTTGTGCTCGTGCAAGTTCCGGGCCAGTGCCCAGGTTAGCACCAGTTTGTTCTTCCTCCACCAGTGAAATTGGCACGAGCTCTCGTTGATGAGCGATGGCAGCTGTGCCCAGCTCGCACGCAATCTCCCACAGGCGGCCAGCTTGGTCATCATCTACAATCATTAAAAAAAGAGAGAAGCGTGCATGTCCCTGACTGTCATATACTCCATCCAAGTACAATCACTGCTGTTTCTTCCCCAAAATGGTGGATCAACGCTGGATGATTTCCTTCCTGCACGCCGCTGCCTTTGTGCACGTGTTGACGTGCACAAAGTGTGTCTCCCGTGGCCCCGCTTTCCGCTCTCTTCTCGTTTGAGAGCTGCGTGTCACGGGGCACTCTGACATGGAAAAGTGGAAATCCCTGTCCCAACAATGAGCTCATTTGTGCCCACACAGGCTATCCTGCTCTTTTTTTTTTTTTTTTTGTCACCACCCCCTTGCAAAGGTTTCACAGAGTTGCAATAACAAGTGAAATGCGACTGCGGTGGTTGAAAACAACCTGAACTATTCTTTCGGGCGACGCACAGTATTTCAAATATCCTTGTGGAAATTCACCCCTGGAGGGCACTTCAGTGAGTACATTCAGGTCTCAGCATGTGGATCGGTGCCATTCGGCACACGCGGCCAAAAAGTTTATCCTGACACAAATATCCGCTCACGCCGCTCCATTGAGCAATCGAGTATGTGGCGCCTATCAGAAGCCAACACGCGTCTGCGCTTCAAACGATTCCGTCCCAGATTGTCTGACATGTTTCCATGCATTGGGTCCTGCTTTTCCAAACCTTCAAAATGTGTTCATCGTGCAGGGACGGACGCCTTGCGCATTTCATGGAAGAATACTTCCCATTGAACCAAAGGTTACTTGACGATTGCTCTTCCGGGGGCGAGACACTGGCGGGTCACGCGTTGGAAAGGCCAATCTATGTTGTGCGCTCTCTAGAGGTGAAGACATGAAAGTGCAGGGCCTCGCTGTCAAAATAGGCTGGTTCGTTTTTCAACCTCCTTGCAGGATTTCAGAATCTGAAACACTTTTTTGAAAAACTTTCTTTTGAGTTAAATCAGTCTACTTTCTTTTCAGTCAGTCTTTTTTTTTTTTTATTTACACAAATACCTGCACTTAAGTACAGAGTGTAAGTACTTTTGTCATGTTTTGGACTCTTTTCCAAGATGATCATCCACTTTTTCGTGTGGAAAAGCAAACCAAGACCTTTTCACACAAGATGTGATGGCGAACGATCACGCTTTGTTGGTGTCATCTTTTTTTTTTTTTTCTGCTCAGAACGCTTCGAATTGTTTGATTTGTTTAACGGCTCGAGCGAGGCGTCGAGTGCGCACTCGGGAGGAGGCATCGGCATCTTTTCATGAATACATCAAAAGCTCCTGCAGGGGTGGAAGATGGACCGCCGGGTGGCGGGCGATCTCCAAATGACCTCTTTTCACAACACAGCATGCGTCGGGACAAATGTTCACTTAAACGTGGCCTTGGCAAGCTCGCATGTGTGTGTGTGTGTGTGTGTGTTTTTCCGGTCGTATCAATCATAAAAGCCAATAGAGCTCTTTGCAATGAGGGAAGCTTTGCCGTCTTGTTTATTGCTGTTATTTGATGCGTTGCGACGATACGCTCACTCTAAGTGCCAAAACATCCATTCTCAAGCATGAAGGGGCAATCTTTTCCCCCAACTGGATACTGGATGGCTTACAATTTGGTGATGGCAAAATCAATATGTGGCCTCTACTGGCCAATCGTTCTTCGCCATAGTTTTCAAAGTATGGAGCGCCCCCCCCCCCCTCCTCCAAAAAAAGAAGAAAAAAAATGCAACATCTCATCATCTAGGTCCTTTTGTTGGGAGCAGTCACCATGTCCATTGTTGTGGTTTTCGCTTTGTCGGTTGTGCGGCGAGCAGAGTTGGCCAGAAAATGCAGAGGAAATTCCAGCCTGTGTGGTGTCCTCGCCAATATCCGCCGCAGCGACACCGTCCCACTTGGAGGGAAACTGCAACACATTTTCAAAACAACACTTGTCGGTCTAAAAAAAATACCCTTCATTCTACTGTATTAGTACTTGTTAGGTTGCTCAAACGGTATATATTCTTTCGTAGATGATTTTTATAATTTTAAGCTTTTGCATATGTAAGTCAGAATCAGATTTTTTGGCCAAGTATGTAAAACATAAAAAGAATTTACTCTCGCAGTGTCAATCCGTCCAGAGGAACACAAGTAAAACAATGACCAACAGAGGGAGACAGAACGCGAAATTGGATGTTTGTCGATGTGTGCTGTTCTTGGCTGGCGACCTGGTCGGAGCAATACAAAAAGAAAAAATGAAGAACGAGATGACACTGATTCATGCTTTGATACCTTTTGGAGGCCTGTTCAATATTGAACGCCGATTCAGTGCTTGATCACTTGGAACGGGGTTCAGCAGCTCACCCATAGTATTGTCTCTTGAGCACAAAAGTAGACTAGTGGAAATTCGTAAAACGGTTCGACGTTGTCGGCAGGATTCGAACCTGCGCGGGGAGACCCCAATGGATTTCTAGTCCATCGCCTTAACCACTCGGCCACGACAACTGCTGCTGTGTTATAATGGCACCCTCTTCTGGTCCTAGGAAAAAATATTACAGTCGTTTCCAAAATGTGACCACCGTGCTAAATTTGCTTGACACGGGGTGATTCGAACAGCATGACTTCTGGAGCCTCGTCTTAATTAGCATCGGAGCACCCGACTTTGAACTTTCCCAATTTATGGTGCTGGCGGCCATGTTTGAAATGGAAGATTTTCCTCTTCCAACAGATGCCCGATGCAGTCACTTGGGTACATCTCAAAATATATGCACAGCTTGTATTGACGCAACATGAAAGTAAAGAGCCACAGCGCTTCGGTTCATGATATAAATTATTTATTTACATTTACAGAAAAAAAAAGAAAATGACTCCATCAAGACAACGTAGTAATAACTCATGGAACCCAAGATACTGTAGCTGAAGTCATTGTCACAACCAAAGAAGAAGAAGAAGAGCTCTAGAATAACATTGTGACCTCCGTGGTCTCCTATAACACAAGGTGCAAGGCATCACGTGTAGCATCCCCCCCACCCCCACCCACCAAATGGGAAATAAGAAAATCCTCAATTAAAGTCCCCTTACCCTGCTTTGCACTACTCCCAATTTGCTGCTTTGCCCCCTCGCCTACAAATGACAGACATTGGCTAACCCGCATCTACCAAAACTCACACTTCTAATTTACACTCACACGTACATACGCACATTCAGTATTCTCAGCCCCCCCCCCGCGCCCCCCCATGCTGTTTCCCGTCCAAGGTCTCACGGTGCTCTCTGGCAAAACCTTTAAAGTGACGCTGTCCTCCACATTCTCCATGTATGTGAGTCTCACGGTCAACTGATGCGCCAGCTCTGTCTTTTCTCGGAGCTCCTCGTCCTCCAACGGGTATTCGTGGGAGGACGTACCGGCCGAGAGAGTGTGTGAGAGAGAGAGAGAAGAGAGAGAGAGGGCCCAGCCACTACGGGGAAGCAGATCCTACATTTTGGGGGGTGGGGGGGGTTGCTCTAAAAAGTGTGTGTGGACGGTCGGGGGGGCACATTTAATAAGACAAGCCTTCCGTAAAGCGGACGGCCATTCAGTCCGACAGGCTCAGATAAGTCGAGTGGAGGCGCGCATGGTGTTCTCGGAGCTGAAGTGGACATTGTTTTGCTTCTGCCGGTTGATCCTGTTGGAGCGAGGGCACTTCCTGCGTGGGGGAACCACAGAGAAAAAAAAAACCCTTATCAGTAAGGAATCGCCATCCATCCATAACTTTTATCCTCAGCAGGGGCAAGGGCGTGCTGGAGCCTATCCCAGCCGTCTTCGCACAGCAGGCGGGGTACGCCCTCAACTGGTCGCCAGCCAATCGCAGGGCACGCATAGACAAACAACCATCACACCTACGGCCAATTTTACGGAGGTTTCTCAGCCAAGACGAGAGGGGCTTGGCCCAGTAGCAGCCAAAACAAAAGTGGCGGGAGGAGAGAAGAATGAGGATCGAATGTTTTTACTGATTGCTTGAATTGAGGTTGTGCATACTTGTCACGGCATGTGTGCGGCGGGCGGACGAGTCAGGATGTGTAAGCAATGGATGCTATTACTGCTAAAGCAGAGTGCAAATTCATTCACTTAAACAAGTTCGGCGCACTTGAAAAAAGACAAGTGCCTCTACTTTGCAGCGTACTGAGAGTCACTAGGCAACAAGGCTCGTTATGATCATATCCTAGCAGTAGTCAGTGTTATTATTATTATTTTTTTGGGGGCGTGGGATATATTTTCCCTCTTTACTGCTTTCACCCTTCACAAGTGCTCATCTTATTAGGCTGACTTCAGGTGCAATAAATTGTCAGTCACACAGATGACTCTCATCGAAGCGTTTGGGATCAGACGTGCTTGCATCTGTGTTTGCATACACAGAGGAAAGCACACAAACACGATGACCTTTCGGGTCAAAGTCCCTTTGTGCGACCGGAGTCCCCCGCCTCGGCTCATTAGTAAGGCTCAGCGCTTCGGGTATGAGCGCATGACTCACCTCGTAATGCAGAGCACCACCACACAGATGATGACCACCTGCAGGGCTCCGATGATGGAGGCGATGAGAACGTAGTGCAGTTTGCCAGAGCCCGGGACCACGTAGAGCACGTTGTACTCTTTGGTGTCGCACTGGGGTCCGCTGAAACCTGAGTGGCAACTGCAACGCAAGCCAATAAAAAATGTTTAGTGCGGAAGAAGCGCATGGCTGCCAGACAAAAAAAAATTGTATGTCGTTTTAGAACGTGATAGATTTTGAGTACAGACACACGATTGGGGGTGGATGGATTTGTAGCAGCCAACTGTACGTCATCCGCAAAGGGGAGATCTTGCAGTTCCTCATAAATGTATTTAGCGCAAGATGTTCTACAGGGAATGACGAGAGCCGCTTTGAACGGCCCGCAACCAAGTCGGCTGTGTTTACTCCCACAATGGCGCAAACCCCTATTTCTCGCGCACAGTTAACATCGCACTTTGCACTTGACTCGCACTGGGCACGAAAATAGGGCCCCATGGTGTTATAGTGTGATTTTGAATTTTTTTTCTGGTGTGTCAGCAATACGCTTCTATAGTTTAGCAAGTCACATTCAATTGAATAGCTTAGAGTCGGCCTTGTTTCTATTTGATGGACTCTGTGGAGGAAACGGGGGCAAGGCAAATCCGTGGCAAAGACAAGGACGAGCAAGCACATTATACAAAGAAACGGAAAAAAAAAATCAGATTTTTCTCCGGGTTTTGTCCCTCTACTCATCCTAATTTCTTGTTAGGTGGAATATAATCAATGCAAAACATGGCGATGAGAGTGCGCAAACGAGCCGCTTCACAGTTTGAGCTTGTCTTGTTATCAGTGAAAGCGACAACCGCCATTGAACTATAGATCAAAACATCGGTTGAAGGTCGCAACGGTGGGGAATAGCAGCACGCTGCATAAATCTGGCCTTGTAATTGCGTATTGCGGGTGGGGGAAACCGTTTGACAAGCTCGATGCATTGTGATGCAGATGTGAATGATTCTAACGCTAGCACGATTCATACATTATAACAATCGATCAAATAACGTAATTCCTCTGAAGTCAACATTTGTTTTTGTGGTGGGGAAAAAAAAGTAATTTTAAAGCTATTGTCGGATCTGTGAAATAATTTGCTAATTATTTGTGTCTTTGATTGTTTGTTTTATGATGCAGATACAATTTTTTGGTATAAGAGTGACGACGCGTGTTCCGATTTACGGACACATTTGGATGATGTCGGTGGATCCACGTCGTAAACCAAAGTATTGACGATGATAAATTGGACACGATTGAGTCAACTGACAGGGCACCCCCCTACCCCCCCCCTTTTTTGTGGCTGCTCTCGCGAGCATAGTGACTACATCAAACGACGCAACAAGAAAAAAACAACAGCAGCCACACAAGAACCGTGGTGACGCTTCTCTGGGCTGAGGTCGGTGTGCAGCACTGACGAGGGTGGCCATTTTCTGCTTTCTGCAACGGCGTTCAATGCAGTCGTCAAATATATGCCGCGACAGACAGAGGGAGACAGAGCCCAATCTGGATGAGGAGCTAAATGCTCCCCCACCTTTTATCGCCCTGCCTGTCTGCGTCGCCATCTCGTCTTCCACTTAGCCGCCTTCTGGCTGCGGCAGTCTCAGGGGGGATTGTTACCCGGCAAACAACAGTGGGTCCTTGTTTGGTACAAAACGCACACAGTCACAGTTGTCAGTGTTCACCCTCCATCTCGCAGAGTGAGGCGAACGTTTCAACCTTGCCGTATTTTGGGGGGGAGAGGGGGGGTTCACATTGGGATACAAAAATGTTGATTCCCGCGACCAGCAGGGGGCAGCAAAGATCTTTGAGCACGCAGCTCTTGCAACAACAGCACAAAAGTCAGTCTCGACAAGCAGGGGAGGAAAGCAGAAGTGGGGGGGGGGGGAGATAGTAGTTGAGAGAGACGCCCAGACCCGCTGGCTGCTGCTCCACTATCAGGCTGTAAATGATGGAAGTGTTAGCCGTACAATTACACATTCCCTCTGCGTGCTTGTTGTTGCGCTTCCGTGTTCGTTTCTCATTGTGCTTTTATGCAGACTGGAAGTCTCCGGTGTCTGCGCTCAAGTGTTATTTTTGTGTCACGCAGAGAATAATGTGCAGTTGCACACGCAGGCTCATTAGTGCCGGTGTCACTGCTGCTGCCAAAAAATGGGCGAGTTAGTGCTGATTTTGGGCTTAATCACTAATGAGGACCAAACACTCGAAGCTGCGCTAAATACATGACCTTTGAATACTGGTCATTATATTAAAACTCAAATGCACTCAAAGGCGATGGAATATCGGAATTTTACATTGCACCTGCTTGTGGGGAGGGTTTGGTCACCGGGGTGACTAGCCACCCATCAAGTGTGACATTAGAGAACAAAGACAATTGTGTTTTACCCGCCGACTAGAGATTCTAATTCTCCGTCCGAAAATGTGTCTGAGCAATTCTGAATTCGGTTGTATATGATGTCACAATTTGTTTGATTTACGTAACCCCGCCCCCTGCACTGACTTTCTCCGGCCATGACTTGGCAGCTCGCCTGGGTAAAGGCCAGCCACTTTCAAGCCACGGCCAGTCTACACCGTCTGGAGCGGTCACCACAAAGCCAAAAGGTAAGCGGAGCTGCAGGGAGTTTTCTTGGATGCGCAGATTAGCGATAGCTGCCTCACAGCGCATGCGTTGGTGCCGTGAGGAATCAGTCAAACTCAGTCTGTGATCACAATTTTAATTTATACTAATCCTATCTCAAGCCATCTTTCCCCATTGAAATGAATGCAAATGCCATTAATCTGTTCCAAAAACACGAAGTTATCAAACATTTCAAAATTAGTTTGGCGGTAAATTTCATTTGGAAATGTCAGTAAACATCTTGCAGCCTGTTTTGGAAGATTTGTTCACGATGCCCAACTGCTGTTTGTTGGCAAATGAGTTGAGTTCACTGCTACCATACAGTATTCGTAACTCAAATGTTTGTTTGCATGTCAAAGCAAAAAAAAAAAAAAAAACACAAGCAAAAACGGGCTTGAACAGTGCTTTTTCATCATTCTCGGCTGAAGCCGCCTGTCTTGTTGGACACCATAGCCCCGCCCACAGGCATTATGGTAACAAAGGCTCTGCTCTCTCTTGGTCCAGCAGTGTTCGGGGCAGGTGTATGGTCACTCAATTAAACGAGACAGGACCGCTCCCGCAAAACAGCAAAAGAAGAAACGGGCCGCTCAAACTTTTAAGATGCCTAGGAAGTGTTTGAAATTGTAAAAAAAAAAAAAAAATCCATAGTATTTCTCAGCATATATTTGGGCTTTTTGTTGTTGTTCAGAGCCCAAACAAAATGTGGATATAGGAATGCAGCGGCATCACATTAGCGTCTCCTCGGGCAAGAAACAAAGCCTCCCAGGTAAGTCAAACTTGCTCGCTAGCCAAAACAAAAGCCAATTGCAAAAATAGCCATCCAAGCTGAATCATCCAAGTTAAACCGTGTCCGCCGGCACTCACATTATGCGCGAGTGCATTGTGTACGCACGCGCCGCAAATGGATGTCCCCAAGAAAGAAAAGAAGGCATCCGAGGATTTCGAGTGCTCCACTCAAATACATTCAGAGAGTTGGAGCCGAGTCTTCTTTACCATTCTAAATCGGGACTCTGTTACTTTCTTGTTTGTTTATTTGTTCGTTTTTTTTCTGATGTGAATTACGTGCCGCCAAACAGGCGCATCAAAGAAAAGGCTTTTGAATGGGGTCTTCAAGGGCAGGCGAGGAGGTCAAACACTGCGAAGTCCCTGGGGATGCCGAAACCCCCGACGGCAGCATCCCAAAGAGTCTTTCCACCAATTTTCCAAGTTTTTTTTCCTTCTTCTTTCATCTTCTTTCTCAAACTGCTTTATTACAACAAAGCGTATGAGGGAAAAGTGGTTCGGGTTGCGCGACTGTCCGTGTTTTATGTTATGTGTTGTGTTTATTATTTTACTTGATGTTAACTGTTTTGTTAAGCGCTTTGTTACAGCTGCAGCTGTTGTGAAAGCGCGATATAAATCAGGATGTATTGTATTGTATTGATTTTTTCTTTTTTTTTTTTTTTTTTTGAGAAGGGGGGGGGGGCAACGGGTGAGACTGCCAGAGCCGTAGCACCAAACAAATAAACAAAGCCGTGAAAATGTACTTGGCCGCTAACCCAAGACTGTTGAACGAGTGGATTCTAAATTCTCTTTGGCTCAGCGACGCCAACAACGCAGCTGCCAAAAATGGCTCCTTCTTATTGATGACGAGTCGACGCGACATCACAATATTTACCATCGGAGGTCGTGTAAACGTAACATGAGCAATACAAATTTTGCCCGAATTCATGCAAGGCAATATGCATGGTTTTAATACAAAGCCAATTCCAGTGGAGTCGGGACGGTGTGTTCAACAGAAATAAAAAAAAAAAAAAAAGAATGCAGCGATTTTAAAAGAATGACAGCAACTAAAAATCATGCTGTAAATACACACATTCTGCATTTGTACTCTCTTCAGACGTTGTGTGAATGTGGAACGTTAAGTGTCATCGGGACGCTGCCGTGAAGGTCAACGAGGCTGCCGGGTTTTTTTTTTCTCTTCTCGACACACCTTCGACGCGGCCACCACGTGTGAATGGAATGCACAGCGGCGGTGCGCGGGTGCGCGTGCGTGTACCTGCATGAGGGCTGGGCAGGTATACTGGGGAACTGACACTCCCCATGAACGCAATAGTTCTTGTAGAGATCCGGACACGGGGTGTACAGGCCATCTGCCTGTCCGTTTCCTGACGAGAGAAAGAGAGAAAATGGAGCCTTCGTCATAATGCGTGCAAGTAACACACCAACCCACCGCGTATGTTTGAAGCCATGAGTACCGTGCAGGCAATCAATGTCAGACACAAGTCGTATACACGCATGTAGCACGGACCGGAACGCCTCTTATGTGCGTCGTACATTTGTAACGCAGATGTAGCATATTTGCTATCCTGTGAAAAACGCCGATGTCCATTTTTTAAAAAATGTCAACGATAATGGAATGTGCGGAACACAGACACGCCATGAACGTAAAACATTCGAGGGAAAAAAAAAACCGTGACAAAACTGGACAGACGTGTCACAGGACAGTGACGATACGTTAATCGTGTAACACACGAGACGCGTCTGGAACATGCCACAGAAATAATGCACGCGAACACACTCCTGTATTTGCATGTCAAAGACAGATGGCACATTGTGTGACAAGCGCGATGAATGCGTGACATGGGTGAATGTTACACGTGTGCAATGCATGTGTCGCCAATGCAACAAAAGTGTCACGCACGTCGCACATCTGTTGCATGTGCAGCGTGTTAACATGCCATACTCTTGCCATTACAGTATTTCGCAAATGATTAGTTTTGTGTGTGTGTGTATGTGTGTGTGTGTGTAGACACACACACACACACACACACACACACACACTGTTTAGCACCGGTTAGCCTAACAGGGCGGAGGTGCAGGGTTCGATTCCCTTGTGGAGTTTGCGTGTTCTCCCTGTGCCTGCGTGGGATTTCTCCGGGTACTCTGGTTTCCTCCCGCGTTCCAAAAACATGTGCGGCAGGCTAATGGAACACTCAAAATGATCCCTAGGCGTGATTGTGAGCGCGGATGGTTGTTTGTCTATGCGTGCCCTGCGACTGGCTGGCAACCAGTTCAGGGTGTCACCGCCCGCTGCCCGAAAACGGCTGGGATAGGCTCCAGCATGCCTGAGGATCAACCGGACCAGCTAATGGATGGATGGCTGATAGAGATCCATATACTGCAGAATGAAGATCACATTTGGCATGGCACAGTTGGTTGGCATACGCGACAAACATCATGCGCACTTACCGGTGATGTCGGTGGGCGCGAAATGTCCGTCTCCGCCTTTGTTCCCATCTGGAAAAAGGCCAGAGCAAGCCATTGATCCCAGGCCAAAACCTCTGGCCCGAGCCATTAGCAAATACACGTTTGAACAAATGCCACAGTGGGAAGCCCGAGAATTCGGTGTGATTTCACCTCAGCAAAAGGGCGCACGGAGCAAGCGCACCTGCCACTTAATGCATATCAATGTGGACGCTGCCTTTGAGTCTCAAAGTTTCTCTTTTTTTTTTTTTTTTTTTTAAACGCCGTACAAAAGGCTGGAAAGGAGAAGCGTCTGAGGGGATGGAAGATAAGAGCTTTATTGCTGCTGCTGCTGCTCCTTGGAAAATAAATAGCAAAACAACCACTTTCCACTCATTCTCAGTATATTGCGCGCTGTTTTCTTTTCAAAGGCCAAGACTTTGTATTCCCACCGTCACTGGACCAAAGTATTTTGTGCATTTTCACAGCAATGGCGGACGCTGTTTCTCTTGCTTCCCCTTGATTGCAACAAACCGCATCAAGTGCATCGTCATCCGGCGAGTTATTCTGCCCCAAAGCGTGTTATGCGCGTGGCATTCCAGCCGTTGAACTCTGGTCCCCAAAGCACGTTAATGGCTGATTGCGCGGTCCCCGATTACTTCTTAAAGCTCTCATCTACAGTCCCTAATCAATTGTCCCGAAATGCCCCGCGGAGGCGACACGGACGCTTGCCCAATTGTTCCGGAAAGCACACATGGCAGCGCCTAGCGCCAATTTCAACAGTCAGAGTGACCCCAAGTGTCGACAAATTAAAATCCAGCAGGATCGTTCCCCCCGCCCCCGCAAAAACAAACAAAAAAAAAACAGCACACTTTTAAATTCAACCACATGGAATAGGAGGGGAAAAAAAAGCATCACTTCATGGGTTTTAACCACGCTGATTAATAAAACGTGTCAATGCCTGGAACGTTAACAAAACAAACACGGAATCCAAATGGAAGACATTAGACTAAAAGGTAATTAATGGTCGGTAATGCCGTCACGAGACGCCAGCTAAGCGTATGTCGGGGGTGGCAGATTAGCGTTGCAGACGTTTCCGTACTGTGATTAGCGCAAACGTGTTGTCGAGTGGATGGAGGTGCGGGAGCTGCCAAGCGGGCGGCAATGGCAGCTCCTGCAAATGGGGGTGGGAGGGGAGTGGGGGGAGATATAACGTGGTCACGATGCACACCCCAAAAATAGTTTAATATCAATATGGATTTTTTTTTTGCTGTTATTTGGCAGAAAAGATTTGATCTGAACCATTAATTATGACAAAAATATGCAATAGCAGCTCAATATTTTTTCACTAATCAATACTCATGGTCAGTCAACGTTTGCTCTTTTGGTATTCCGGATGTTTCCGAAATGGGAATTTTGACTCGAACTTGAATATTGACCTCACGTAAACATCAGTCGTTGAAAGCCTTTTGTACAACTGTGCATGACGCCGTGGGAGGGAGGCTAATGGGCAGAGGCAGCCCCTTCAGCAGAGCCCAGCCTTAAGGGGGGGGGGGGGCACATGATCGTCATAGCCAACATTGACATGACCGAAACAAAGACGCCTTCTTGAGTACGTCGACGCCGCAGCCGTATTGGATGTGGCAAATTGTGAAGTAAATTGTGAAGATGCTTCAAATTAAATTTCACAAAAACTCACTGGATCAAGACGCAATTCTTGCTTTTCGGTGGTATGAGCTCGTATTTGCCGAATATAAGGCTCGCGTTAAAACCACATACAATATGGACGGATGGGCTGACGTATCGCTTCGACCCGGTTGCACAACAGAACTGACAAGAAAAAGGGAAAGAATCAAATGAAAATGTCCGCAAAGCAGCGGGCGCATCAATTCCAAACTCCCGAAGAACAAGGAAGGCTCAAGTCATTTGTGACATTTTGCAAAGCTGATCGAATCTTGAGTCTGACCTTGGCAGTGGCCCAGGTGCTTGACCTCGATGCGTTCCTGCTTCTGACAGGAGGCCTCCTTCACCTGGCAGGGGTTGTCATAGGAACGGCCATCCGAGGCACACACTGGATTGAAGCTGATGTGGGAACAGTCGATGTTGCACACGCACCTGCCGCAGAGTTACACAACCATTGTTTGTGTCACTCCATTGTATAGGATGTCGAACATCCGTGCCGTGGCTGTTTCATCACCAGATGTTGATTAAAAATGCCCCCCCCCCCCCAAAAAAAGTACACCTTCTTACACCCGAGGGAAAACACACAATTAAGATTTTACTCGGTCGGGACATCGGGGCCGTTCATTGTAATCCCGTTCAAATGATGTTTTGACACATTCGGTGTGGCACAATAGCGAAATAGGTGAAACTTTGCACAAAGAAAAAAAAAACAGGCTGCACAGAAGGCTCGCCCGATAAAAGAGCGCACAATGGAAACAAAGAGATAAGAAGAGCGCACATGTCGCTGCTTCTTGAAAACAGTTCTGAATGGAAAGTACGAACTTGCGGGTGCCGATAATATCCCAGCATTAGCATGCCATGATGCCAAAGAGTTTGTTTACTTCCCTCTACACCGTGACGCTATCTTGATGAGGCTGAAAGTGTATCGTGCACACGCCACAACGGCCGGCTGCCTTTCGAGTGGGGACGACGTCGCCGTCCGTCGTCCACCTTCGGCGACGACGACAGCTGATGCTGACGTTCAATGAGTATTTTGTCGCAAGCTGCAAAACTGGCAAAAATACTCTCACCGTTCATCCACCGACACTCTCGATTTACAGTAAGTAAAAATACAGAAAGAAATGACTGGCTATAAGTAAAAGTGCTGATTAAGCTCTGTCTGTAAATGTCAGAAAGTATACACTGTACAAAATTAAATATCTAGCTAGCTAGCTAGCTAGCTAACTAGCTAGCTTGCTAGCTGTCGATCTACCGGTACTTTAACTTGTACATGTACTTTGTTAACCGCTCAGTTTGAAAAAAGGTACCGAGCCTAGTTTGAAAAAGTGTGTTGCCACAAGTACAGCGAAGTGAAAAACAATCTGTCTATGTTTATAGATCCATAAACATTTTTGTTACCTTCAAATTTTCCAGTACTGTTTTATCTTGAGTTACTTTTGACTCAGTACAGTAAATCAAACCAAAAGGGAGATTTTATCCAAGCTATTAGGAAGTTACTTTTTTTTTTTTTTTTGTCTACCTAAATCATCTCTCAAAATATTTCTTATGTTTTGGACAGGTAAAAAGAGCTCGGGGTCCAAAAAAATGACCCCAAAGGCCGTAAAACATCTTCTTTGTATGTGCTTGACGAAACAAAGAAATTACATTCTCTCAAAAGCTACGTTTTACTATTGCCTTCAAGTTATTTGTAGTTTTTGACCCATAAGATAAAAGGAGCGCATCGCAAAAATAAAATAAATATCAGTTTTGTCATAATTAGCTTTCTTTTTTTTTTCCTTCTCTGAGTTAAAGAACGTCCTACAATGTTTTTAATTATCGGGCTTTAATGTTCCACGCTGTCCTAAATTCCCGTGAGACAGACTGATTAAATTTGTCATTTATTCATTTTGCCCTCATAGGCAATGGCATATTAAAATGCCGTTTGTGCAGCTAAATGTTTGCTCTTCAACAAACATTCAAATGGCCCCTTCGGAGCCTCTAGCGGTGGGTGGGGGGTGGGGGGGGGGCACATGCCTTCCGTTTCTCTCCATGAGACTTGGAGGCCACACGTGAAGCTTCCCTTTCTCACTCAATGGCAGACAATTGCTTCAAGGTCTTCCCCGTGTGACAAAATTGATGATTGAAAATGTCAGCCTGGGCCTCTTTACAGCTCCGAATCCTCAAATGTAATAATAACGATCGCGTTCCCGGGTCAATTTGACCCAGGGTGCTTCGGAATCCATTGTTGCCATCTCCCCGGTAATGCCATCCATCTACTAAGCACTTCAAATTATATGCTTGGGTGAATATTTTCACCTGGAACGAAAATATGCTGAAAGTTTTTCCGTCTTGGGAAAGGCTTGTGAAAGTGGCCACAAATCATACTCCAGGAGGACTTCGGAATAATCTCACCCAAGTAAAAGGAAAAAGTAGTCCTCCAAATAATGACATGAGTAATAGTAAGCATAAATAACGAGATAGCACGTACAACAGCTTCCTCCTCCACGTCACTCTGGAGAGACAGCGATGGGGGAGGAACTTCTCCTGTCAAACGAGCTTCGTGACGGAAGTCGCGGCTGCCCATCACCCGTACGTTCGGCTCGCTGATTTGAGAACCCGACGCAAAGGTTCTAATCAACAGCACCAGTCTGAAGTCTGTCCAACGAACGGCCGTTTCCTGTGTACCTTTCCGTAATAAGAGAAGCGCCCGCGGTGCGGGCCTCCGCTGCGTGTCAGCTTTTATTAGGACTAACTTTGCTGATGGCCTCCGCCAGGCAGATGGTAGACACTGTAATGATAAATCTGTCATTATTCTCACAGCCTTTTGATTTTCTCCCGGCTCTCGCAAAAGGCATTCGGCCGTCTGACACGCACACGAGCAGACAAATATCCTCAGGCGGGCGGCTCCGCAATCGGCCTCGATGATACAGCTCATGTCGATGTTGATTGAAATGGCGGGCGGCAAAGTATGGCGGGATCGCCTTGTGATGATGGATCAGCGCAAGTCAAAGACAACGAGATTGTTGCGGCTTTGTTACGCCTCACGCACATAATGAGCAGAGTCCCGCGAGCCGCCGAAGGAATGAGCGATCCGTCTAAATAAGATCAAGACACCCGACTAACAGCGGAAAGCACCTCATTGTCATTTTAAAATTGCAATGAAAACCGACACGAGACATCATTCGGGAAGACGACAAACAGCGGTCCTGTTTTTGCGCAAGCGCCCTGCACTTGCGGTCCGGACGCAAAGAGGCGAACGTCTCCACAAGTCTCCAGAAATCATCACCAAATGTCACTATGTTGCTCGTCGCCAGCAACAAATCGATGCGATCCCCTTGGCTCCGCCGCCGGTTGGCATGGTAACAGCAACCGCTGAGTTGTGATGTCGCGCAAGCATCAATAATTTTTTATTTTTTATTTTAGCCCTTTTTTTGAAAGATGCCTGGGATTTATATTTGTGAATGTCCCGCATGCTGAAACATCCGTCCTTACATTTTTGCATTTTGCATTTTCAAGGAGTTGCTAACTGAAGGTTTTAGGCCATAATAGTCAACAAAACAAGGTGACAGCAACAGAAAAAAAAAACCATGGCAGCAACGCAACAATTCGATGACTGATTGGTCGGCGTGGCAGTCCTTTTTTACATAAATACAAAAAAAAAAAAAAGAAGGAATCACTTGATGACCAACAGGTGCGGCGCTGGAGGAGAAGCCCTCCAATGCCACCTGTTGGTCACAAACGGAACAGAATCATCACAGTCAACGATGAAACCAAATTTCATCGAACCTCAACAAAAACAGATTCACGACAAGCTGTTGCTTTCATAAAAACGTCAAAATAAACGCAAACCCTGCGCTACGTCGATGAGCGCCCGTCTTCTTCCCGAGGGGCCGCGGTTGGTCAGCGGCCGATGTCTGGCCCACATCCATTTTTAATGCCGACTGCATTGCGTCAACACATCCTAATGCTCCTTGCGCTCACAGTTGAAATGTGTGCAAAACACATGCACACACACCTCGGTCTTGTGAGGTGAAGCTGATTTTTTTTTTTTTTTGGCATTCACACACACACCAGGGAGAAACAAAGCACTACATGAAAGTATGTGTGTGTGTGTGTGTGTGTGAAACGTGTGAAACGCGTCTCTGAGGAGACGGGCTTAGCAGGATGTGTTGTATTGATTAGTTGCCTACGATTATTTCAGTCCCATCAAAGCAGAACCCCCCATCCCCCCCAGCCCCCTCCGAAGCCCAGCAGACTGTCGGCGGGCCTCGGATCGTAAAAGCCACTTTACGCCAGGGCTGGGCAGCCCCAAAGTCACTTTTTGGCGCAGGGGTGTTGGGGAGGGGGCTGAATGGGGAAACATGGCAAATATGCCGTATCCAATCCAATACATCCCGATTTATCGAGCGCTTTCACAACAGCTGCAGCTGTAACAAAGCGCTCTCCAAAACAGTTCACATCAAGTAAAATAATAAACACAACACATCACATCAAAAAACGGACAGTCGTGCAATCTTAACCACTTTTTTGTATGCTGGTATTTTTGGGGGACATGTTCAAGTTCTTTCCCACTGGACGTTGACTGTCAAACTAAACATTATACGAGAAGAATCGCACCTCGATTTCAAACAAGCGCATAACATTGACGAGAGCGATGCAGTTTCAACTCTCTGCGATTGTTCAATAACTCTGCTCACCAAATTTGCACGACATGTTTAAATCAGAGATGGGAGAAAACTTATCGTGGTTCTTTTTTGCTGCTGCTTTTGAATCTGCCCTCATTTTGTTCTCTGGCACATCAGGCGTTCATAGGAACAATAATAATAATAATAATAATTATATGTAATCCACTCTATCCTCAGGAGTGTCGCGGGGGCACCAGAGCCGATCCCAGCCGTTTTCGGGCAGTAGACGGGGGACACCCTGAACCGGTTGACGGCCCGTCGTAGGGCACACAATAGACCAACAAATAAGCATTTGTTAACTTTGTACATAATCCTCATTAAAGTGAAGGGTTGACCCGGAGCCCGATCCGAGCCGACTCCCGGCGAGAGAAGTGGGGTACCCCCTGGAGTGGTTGCCAGTCAATCACAGTTATTATTGTTCTCTAATTCAAAAAAAAAATCCCGAGTTCAAAAGAATTGAGGTCAGTCAAGTGCTGAAGGCTCCCCGCTGCTCGCGTAACATTGAATTGTCTTTGTGACGCTCTCTTCAAATTCTTCTGGCAATGACAGCCCAAAAGGGCGGCTTTTGACAAGCGCCGGTGCTATTTTCAGGATGCGTGAACTCGCCCACGCTCCCAGAGCAAGCGTCCCCGAGCGTCACCGCACATCCACCGACGGCTCCTCCCGGAAAAGCCGGCCTCTCTGTGCGTAATTACAGTTTCGCGCCACAAATGGACCTAAATGGCTTTTGGAGGATACACTATTGATCCTCGAGGTAAATTGCTCATT